TGCCGCCCCCTTCACATTCGTTTTGAAACTCGATAAAAACCATCAAATGAACGTGGCAGAGGGGGAGGGGTGCATAAGACGCATTTACTCGTGTTGGACACATTTTTTACGAAAGCCCTATCGACACTACTAGCAAAAGTTCACGGAACTTAGCGCAAACGTTAAGTTTCGTAAACCTATCTTTGTGTGGACAAGACCTTCCATTCACAAGAAATGAACGAAAAAATGATGAAAGAACAAACATATATGCGGTTTAATGATTTTAACCTCCGCCGCCGTTCCGCGCAGATCGCACTGTGTTGGACGCAATGCGTGAAGTATTCACGCAGTCTTGTAGGTGCTATGCGTTTCACGCTGACTGCACTGTGTATGGCACAATGCATGAAGTATTCATGCATTCTTGCAGGCGCTATCCATTTCACGCAGACCGCAATGACCGCACTGTGTTTGATGCAGTGCGTGAAGTATTCGTGCAGTCTTGTAGGCGCTAATATCGCCGATCGCCGCGCCGAGGGCTTCTCCTTTCCATCCTAAGTCCTCGTCATCATTTCCCTCTAAGTCGCGCCGTTCCGGGCTAAATTGCGTGTTTGATTTCTCTCTTACCTTGACTAATTAAAGGTACTGTCTCTTGTATCACTCAGAGACGACAAAATTAGAAATTACTATACTGTCAGGAAATGAGAGATTTTGTCACCTTTTCTCGTTTGTAATTTTTTTTTCTAAATCCGATTTTTTTTATACCTACACTTAAAAAAATTGCAAATTTTTGCCGCCCCTTAGATTTGCCGCCATGGGCCACGGCCATCTGGCCACCCCCTTAATCCGGCCCTGCCGCCTAGTGACGTCATCTGGCGGCATTTCCTATTCAAACACACGTATTTTAGCAGATTAGATCATTTTTTCATATCTTCACCAATAATTGTTCAAGTAATGAACCAAAGGACCCAAAGGTATCCTTGTGTTCAGTTTACTCAGTAGTTTCTACTTAAGCACGAAATTCATCAAACTTCAGACACCTGCAAAGTCAGGATCCACTGTGCGGTGCTGTGATTGTGGCTGTGCATTTGGAGGATGGGTCTCCGGTCAATTGTCGACTCCTATCTTCATCTTCCCGGGAGCCCCTCCCGCGCTCGAGTCGCTCGTACTATCAATCTTGTGGCGGCCGCGGCTTCAATAGATCTGGCCTTGCTCCTGCGCCCGGGCCCCGCTCCAGACCCGGGAACCGGGACTCTACACTCCATCGTCCATCGGGCTTTTGTCGTTCCGCAGGGAGCAGTCAAAGCTCCCAGTTTCCAAATCGAATTCCCTTCGAAATTCGACTCATCTACTGTCAATAGGGTTGCCACAGTCACACTGGGAAAAAAAAACACATTGGATCTAGAGTCCGAAAACATTGACAAGAAAAAGGACTCTTGATTCAATCATATTTAAGCTTAAATCAAAAGGAAATCTGCTCAAATTAAGAGGCTTGGTTCTTGATGCAAGCTTAAATCTGATTGAATCAAGAGTCCTTTTTCTTGTCGATGTTTTCAAGAGTCTAAACTCTAGATCTAGTGTGTTCTGTTTTCCAGTGCAGGGAATACTGGAAAACCGGGAAATGTCAGGGGATTTTAAACAGTGAAGGAAAATCGGGAAATGAGAGGGGAAAATTGACAAGTCACCTTTATTTCCTTCCTTGAATAGGTTTGACGTTTCGAACAACAAATTTTGCCCGAAAGCTATTTCAAATTGTGTCTTCTTAAGCATCTGCCATATTCTTAATTGTCAGGAAATTTCACCAAAATGTAACGGAGAAATCAAGAATTTCCGTCATTATGGTTACTTTGGTTTCCTTTGCCTTACTTTTTTCGTTCGGATAAACCAAACGGACGAGGAAAAAAATTTTTCATTTTAGGGAAGATAGCGGTGTCTCCAAAATTCTCCGTTCGGATATTTTCTTTCGTTTTTTTATTTTTTTACTATTTTTTTCATGTTTTTTTTACTATTTTTTTCATGTTTTTTTATTTATTTTTTTCATGTTTTTTTTTTATTTATTTTTTTATGTTCTTTTTTATTTATTTTTTATGTTCTTTTTTATTTATTTTTTATGTTCTTTTTTTATTTTTTTTTTTCATATTTTTTTTCATGTTTTTTTTCTCTTCATTTTTTTTTTATTTTTTTTTATTTTTTTTTTTTTATTTTGATCAAGGATTTCTCCATCTTTCACCGCCCGGCCGAAAGCGTGCGATCGGAGCCACAGGAGCGGCGAGAAGCGACGACAGGTGGAGATGGAGATCCCGTGTAAACAGAAAGTAGCGCAGAACAGGGAACACGTGACAAGTGTTAAAGCTTCATCGGGGCCGAGCTGAGTGTTCAGACCTTGGGCAAGGCCACCGGAGAAGCCTCCCCCCGCCCCTTCCCCCTCTCGCTCTCTGGCTCTGCACGTCGCGTGGAAAAACGCAAAGCTCAACTTTTCCGCCGGCAACTGGGAACTCGCGGTTTCCGCTTCCGTTGCACCCGTCAAACTCATCGCCTTCAATTTTCCGGTCGCATTCGATTGTGGGATTCTGCCGTGCTAAGGAAGAACGACGTATGGACATTTGAAAGTTGCCAAATTTCTTTAAATAAAATGGTTACTCTTGAGGAAATTTATGAATATTTTTCCTTGAAATTTTCAGGAACTTTAGGTGAAATTGCAAACAACATAATCTGAGAAATTGGAAGAAAAATATTTATAAATTTACCAGGAAATTCGTGTTTTAGAAATTGAAATTTGGCAGCATGAAGGCTCATACGGCGTTTTTCCTTAGCACGGCAGAATTGACAATGGAAGGCGCAAGGCAAAGGGAGTAGCATGAAAAAATGAGTTCATGCAAAATAAAAAAGCCCCGGAAGTCAAGCCCCCAAAATCGATTTATCTTCAATTTTTCACCTACCCATAGAATTTATCCCCTTAGTTTACAAGAATTACCCATTTCAACCAATAGGATCGCTCCATACTTCTTATGTCTTCTTAGTCTATCGCTTTGTCTATAAATTTCAATAATCAGCCCGCTGGTCGACGCGATCGTAGACCTGGCCGAGGAAGCCGTCTCCCGTTTCCATAAGCGGACACCATGATCGATTATCGAAATCTCCCCCATTTCAAGTCATGGTGAGGAATCGATCGTTAAGATGATGGTTGTGAACACCTTTTTTATCGATCCTTTTTCCTAGGTTTAAATGAGAGATCAATCGATCCATCGCAAAGTACGCCACGCCACTGACTCCCGAGTCGGGCGGGAACCTTGACATTACACGAGGGCGAGACGAGACGGTCGTCGGTCGTCGGTCGTGCTCGCAGGACATAAAACCAAGCTCGGGCACCGGCCAGAAACATGCCCGCACCGTCGCGGTTTTTACCCGCACGCATGCGCCAAATTGA